TTCAATCGCAGCTGGAGGGCCGGAGCCCACCCCCGTCTTAGAGCAAGTGCTGGGAACATGCTGGCTTTTGGACGCAGTTGCTGGATATTCCGGCTCAAATCTCTGGCAGCCTGCCTACTGACGGAGTAACATCAGCGTGGCATGGAGCATGGACCAAGATAGATCGTAGGAGGATGCTGCTGGGGTAGTGGTGGTCAACTTGCAAGAGTATAGGGGGGGCCTTAAATGTGACCCCCTCATGTCACCAGGGGCCGCATGTTCTTTATATGTAATGCTACAGAAGATTACCGTAGACTGAAATGGTCAGAGACTGAAGTCATGCTGTAAGAGAGACTGGGGAAATATGTTGCTGGAGATCACTGCTGTTTCAGTCAGGACCGTCCCTTTAATGAGGCAGCCTGAGTCAGTTGCCTCAGGTGGCATCTCATTGGGTCACGTGGGAGGGGGCGGCAGGTGGGGTGGAAGGGGTAGCGTCAGAGCCTCCCAGGTCGCTAAGAGCTTTTAGCAACCTGTGATGCTCTGGCTGGCGTTCTGCCCAGCTCCTGGCATTCAGTGACATCAGTGAGCTTGACAGAGGCACCAGACCCAGAAGTAGGACCAGCACACCCCTACTTGGTAACGAGCATCCGCTCACTGCCAGCACCCAACAGAACCCCCCCCCATGGAGTATGGACCGCCAGCACCCCCCAAGTTAACAAGTATACACCAGCACCATCCCTCTCGCCTACCTCAGTTGGCGAATAGCGTAGGGACAGCTCTGGTTTCAGCTCCTGCAAACACCAAAGGGCCTTGTAGCTGGCTTGTTAGTATTGTTGCCTTGCAACATTAAGATCTTAAAGCCCATCTCCAGGAAAAAAAAGTAATTGCCCCTGCAGTGGGGCACATCAATGCCTGCGTTCCAGTCCAGTGCATTTGGAAAAATGCTGCGTGCACTATTTTCTCCAATCGTACTGGACCGGAACGCAGTCAGTGATGTGCCACACGTTCTGGTGATTCCACTGCCGGCGAGGGATGGGGGGATGCAGCTGCAGTGTCTTTGACTTCAATGCACCACCATGCCCCCTCCCACTCCAGAACGCAAGGGGAAGTTTAGTATGTGATACAGTGCGTTCCAGCAGCTAACCGCACTGAAACGCACTGTAAGTGGTGTGAACAAGCCCTAAGGGACCGAGAACAGGGACTGCTGTCACTGACCAATCCAGACAAGGCAACGGGATTCTGAAACCACCCTTTAAGCTGTGTACTTGAGCCCATTCACTGTCTTGCCTAAAGGTCCGGAGACTGATCCTCTCCATCCAATTCAGTTCCCTGTATAGTCCTCCCACCTATGCCGGGAGGACTATAAGCCCTGCTCCTGAGTAGGCCCCCCTCTGTCTTGGGCCCCATAGCGCTCACATGGGTCGCTATGGCGGTACTTCCACCACTGCATGTACCATCTATAGCAACACAGCACACCAGTGCAGTGCGACGCAGGTGTGTTGGGGTGCCATTCAAAATTATTGGCACTAGAATGCACCAACACATGTGTGTTACCACAACACAATAGTGTGAATGCAGCCTTAAAGAACTATGAGGCGAGTGCTTTTCACTCACCTCATAGTTCTAGCCGACCTGTGACAATGAGACAGTCACAGGTCGGCTCAGTAGATTGGGAAGTGAGAGAACACATACCGGCGCTCACTCACTTTTCGATCCCGTCACGGCAGAGAGCCGTGACAGGGATGGGACTGGATTCCCCCTCCGCTCCGCCAGCGCTGACTGGTGGAACGGATGGGGGAGGGGGCGGGTACAGCTGGCTCTGCCTCTAGATAGGCAGAGCCAGCTGTCACTCACGCAGCTGGGCGGATCCAGACATAATTGGAATGCACATCACAGAATTTGCTACAAATTCTAACGGTTGTTAGAGTATAACTGTTATTTTTGCACCTAGCACAAAACAAGCATTTAAGGCTCCGCAAGAGTTAAAAACATTTTTAGCCCCGAGTTCTTTTTACATTTTATACACTTTGGGGGGGAATTTATCAAAACTGGAACAGACAAAATCTGGAGCAGCTGTCCATGGCAACCAATCGGCTTCTCTCTTCAGTTTGTTAGGATTTGAAAATGAAAGAAAGAAGCTGATTGGTTGCCATGCACAGCTGCTTCACATTTTGTCTGCTCCAGTTTTAATAAATTCCCTTCTTTGCATTTGTGTAGTATGACAGAAAAGAATTCAGTCTATATAAACGCAACAATAATTATACTCTTTTTTTTTTTTTTTTTATTGATGCAAAAACTGCAGCAACCTTTTTTTTTTCATAAATATCAAATTTTACATTTATTTGGTAACAGAAAACCACTGAAATAATCTAGTGTATATTATTTCATCAATGTAACAGCAATTATACCACAATCAGTAAGATACTGCATGATAGTGCAGATATTATATTGGACTATTGGCATATAGCAGAAATCACCTGATGTATAGCCATGACCTTTTTTTGGTTTTAGTTTCGACTACAGTAGGCAATTCTTAAAACCCCTGGTAGGTTTTGTTTTGCTTTCTGTGTCACTTCCTGTTCAAATATACAACAGGTAAAGATAGTTAAAAGAAGTGTGATGAATTTCCCTCTTAGACAGTTGTCCCCAAAACAAGTGTTGGAGGATTTCCCTTTACCTCTTGCTCTGGAAACAACCATAAAGTTTTGGATTCCCCACACTTTCTTAAATGGGTGACAGTGGCGTAACAATCGCCCTAGCGACCCAGTCGGCCGCTATGGGGCCCGGGGCACAGGGGGGCACCGTAATCTGTGCAGCAGTGCGTTCGTCTCCAGAGCCGCTGCTGAGTCAATGAGTGCCAGCAGCAGCGGTGGAGGAGGAGGCCGGACTCGGCAAGGGAGGAGGTGGGGCCCGTGGTGGACAGCAGGGGAGGAGGCGGGGCCCGGTGACGGAGAAGGAGGCAGGCCCGGCGACGGAGGAGGCGGCGCCCATCAGCGAGCGTGGAGGAAGAGGAGTCGGACAGGTAAGGAGTGCGACCAGCCCACCTGAAGGTGACCCTGCAGAGCCCACCATAGAGTCTATGGTGGGCTCTGCAGGGTCACCCTCAGGTGGGCTGTGTGGGATCTCAAGTGGGCTCTGCAGGGTCACCCTCAGGTGGGCTGTGTGGGATCTCAAGTGGGCTCTGCAAGGGGTATTACTAGAAATCACAAATTTTGCTATGGGGCCCTGTGATTTCTAGTTAGGCCCCTGATCGGTGACAATGGTCACCAATACAAATGGAAATGGTGAATCTCCCTAAATGGGACACTGACAGTAATACATTTTTGACAAATAGTCTAAACCTTTCCCTCTTTATCCAAAAACAAGGTTCTGCTTAGAAATACACTTTAAATAAATATTGATTCTAGCAGCAAGAATAATTACCTGAGGAAAAAAACAAACTCATAAATACCAAACAGCCTGAGAAAATACAGTACAAGATTACTAAAGATAATTATTAGGTTTTGGGTAGAGGCGGGTTAGTGCTTGTTTTGGCTTTATCAACTTTGCCAATGAAGATCCCTTTTAGTACTGTGGTGGCTGATGAATCCCATGGTACAAAATGGCAAAAACACCATTTCTACCAAGCTTGCATGTGCCCACAATAAGTATCTGTATTTGCTTGTAGTTTATCTTGGGAACATCCTCTGAAAATGTCACTGAACAACTACCATGTACAATGTAATCAATTGCCATGAATACAGACATCCAACAGAGCACTACACACCCCATTTAATAAAGCACCTTGAAAGGAATGGCTGGTAGTGCCCCCCAAAAATGTATTCCGTCTTCCATTTTAAGTGAGTTTATGGATGCAGGCTTCAGATTTAGAAGCAAGTCAAATGTAGCCCGTTTTCTGGAACTTGCAAGACAAAAAAAAGAAAAAAAAGTGTTAAGATCAATTTTAGTTGCTTTTGAGTTGCTTCTGAGTTTTCATGCATTCACGATGACTAGGCTGGGGGAAAACATTTATGACTGTTTTCCATTGCATTTTGGTAACTGCAGCAAATCAACAAGTGAATAATGTTCCATAATACACGTGTAAAAATGTAAACACTGTGTTTCAAATGCGATGCTTTACAAACGCAGGTTAGAAGTAAGGAGAAATGCCTGTGTACACTACACTTATGTATCAGTAAAAATGACAGATGGGATTTGATTTGTCATTATGGATAACAAGACAGTTTGGACACTGAGGAATAGGGCAATAGGACGAGACTGGGGCTATGTCCTGATGAAGGGGGCGTGCCCCAGAAACGAGTCGACACTCTTGCACATCGATCTGCACATAGGACGCATCTGACAGACTGCTACTAATCCTGTTCGGTCTCCACACTGTTCTTAATGCTTGTGTATTTCCATCTTTGTGAGTATCCATTTACTTATCTATCCTCATTTTAATTGAAAAATAAAAACTGATCTGCACTAGGAAAAAGGCAACCTTCTCTTGTTTTGTCTTACAGTGTCTTCAGTCTTCCTGACTGCATTGGGGCTGCCTCCTGCATAGATGCCAATATATTAACTCTGTCCAAAAGACTATATATGACAACCTCTGGCGCTCCTTGATATATTACTTCTATTTACTTTTTTGAAATTAGTCAAATATTCTGCCATAAAAAAAAAAAAAAAAACACAACCTTTCAAAGGGGCAACTGTCCATGACAACAATTTCAAAAGCAGCATGAAATCTGATTTCTATAGGCAAGTGGTCCACTTCTGCTCCGTTCTGCTTCTGTTGACAGGAAAACTGAAAGGCAACTGGTTATTATGAACAGCAGTAAATTACTCCTACAGCACACATTTCATATATATCAGCATTAAATACACTGCTACATTGTTGCCACTTGTTGAATTGAGTTTAAGCCAAAGACAAAATACTAATCTCTCCTATGATGCTTGGAAATTGATGGTGTCACTGCCTAATCTTACTAAACATTCTTTTTTTGAAGAGCTTTTTCCTGGTGTTCAGTAAAGGCAGTTGTTTCCTTTAGAAATCACAAGCAAGCACTGGCCTGGGCATCCTTCACAACATAAAACCCAAAACTTGAGGAAGGGAGAAGAAGGGGAGAGCCTGGAGCTTTTTCTTTCCCATCTAAGGTAGGCAACGTTTTGTCATCCACCATTCTCAACACTTCCCCGTTCAGCAAGACCGTTCTAAAGAAGAAGAAGAGAAACAATTCATAAATTACATTTTAATTAAACAGGGAATTTCAGAAACACCCAAGAAAATACATTAAAGGAGAACTAGGAGGCGAGTGATTTCCACTTATCCTCAGTTAGAGCCGACCTGTGACAAACAAGCTGTTACAGGTTGGCTCTATTGTTTGGGAAGTGAGCAGAAACATGCACCAATCCGCTCACTTCCAGATCGTCTCCCTGCAAGGATTCCCCCCCTCCCCGATCCTCCAGCGCTGAGTGGAGGAACGAACAGGGGAGGGGTGGCGGGCACAGCTGGCTCTGCCTCTAGATAGGCAGAGCCCGCTGTCACTCACGCAGCTGGGTGGATCCAGACAGTATTGTCAGGATCCGTCCCAGCTGCGGCACTCTCAGTATATCGTGGGCAATAGCCCGCGATATACTGAGCTTTGAGTCACGGGAGGAGGTTGGTAGATGTCCTCCTGTGACCCTAAAGGGAACTAGGGAAAAACCACTTACTCCATAGTTCTCTTTTAAGTAGAATAATATCAGGCCAACACTAAATTAAGTATTTGATTTGCTTTTTTGGTTGACTTACTGGGAGAACAGTCCTCCATCTCCAGGTAGAAGCAGATACTCATCTATGGCCTTTCCAGACAGAAAGCTTGGTAGCTGTATTTGTTGTGTGTGGTTGCACAGGTTCATGGCAAATACAGAAACATCTCCTCTTCTGTATTTGGGACTGGCAAAATAAAGACAGAGGTTCATTATGCAAAATAATGCCCCATGTACAAAACGGTAACAATAACTGCATGTGAAACCATTCATAGGGCAGATTAAGTTACATGCACTCTCAACTTCCTATAAAAATCTAGTTTGGCCCACCCTCTTCCAAACATTTCTATGGCTCAGGGAAGCCATCCACCACATTAACCCTTTCGCTGCCAAGGACATATGGCATACGGACCTACAAAAGTGCTTCCAGCTGGCCAGGTCAGTATGCCATACGGACCTGGCATTTACAGTTCTACTATAAGCTGATGGTCGCTTTAGCGACCATCAGCTTATAGTATAACTGTTCAGCAGACTGTACAATTGTTTCATATCTGTTCCAAGTGCAAAAAAAAAAACCTGATGATCTTGTCAGAAATTCAGAGCTGTCCTGTGAACTGTGCACACTTCCTGCATTATCACAGGGAGTCTAATTAACGTTCCTAGTTTCTATCTTGGACTAAAGAATAATTAGGGTCTATGTTGTGGAGAACAGGATGGAGGGAGGGAGGGTTGAGTAGTTTAGCAAAAGACAATTGGGCAGGGCTGACACCATTCAGTCCACAGAAATGCTGTGTTTTGTGAGCCCACAGCAGGAAAACACGAATCTTCAGTTTACATATACCCTTGGAATTTTTTAAACTAGCATTCAAGACAACAGGTCCAACCAGTTTCTTAAACAGCAGAGATAACCAGTAATCCTAATGAAATAGTGTATACATTAGACATTAAATATTCCAATTATAAACCTGATAAAATATTATATATTTAGTTACATAGTTAGTCAGGTTGAAAAAAAAGTTCAAGTTCAACCTATAGAGATATAACAAAAAAAACAAACAAAAGAAGTAGAAGGAAGAAAAGCCTAAACAGAACGCTAGGCCCACAATTACCCCCTGCTGATCCAGAGGAAGGAAAACCCCCCCCATAAAGCACGGTTTAATTTGCTCCAACAGGGGAAAAAAATCCTTCCTGATCCCATAAGGCAATCGGATATTCCCTGGATCAACAATCTCTGATGTTTAATATACCTATAAGAACTCAATATCCAGTAATATTCTGTGCATTTAGGAATACATCCAGAATTTGTTTAAAACAATTAACTGAGCTAGCTAGAACTAGTTACTGGGGGGAGTCTATTCCACATTTTCACAGCTCTAACTGTGAAGAATCTTTTCCGTATGCAAAGGTTAAACCTCTTTTCCTCCAGACGCAAAGAGTGCCCCCTTGTCCTTTGCAGTAACCTTAACGTGAATAATTTGGCACCAAGCTCTTTATATGGACCATTTATGTATTTATACATAGTGATCATGTCCCCCCTTAATCACCTCTTCTCCAGAGAGAACAAATTCAGGTCAGCTAATGTTTCCTCATAGCCGAGCTCCTCCATGCCTCTTATGAGTTTAGTCGCCCTTCACTGCACTTTCTCCAGTTCCACAACATCCTTTATGTGAACTGGTGCCCAAAACTGAACTGCATATTCCAGATGAGGTCTTACTAATGCTTTGTACAGGGGCAGGATTATGTCTCTATCTCTGGAGTCTATACCCCTCTTAATACAAGAAAGTATACTGCTCATTAAACTTAAAGGAACATTTTGAAAACACATCAGATCTCAATGGGGAAAAATATCATGCTGGATATCTACTGTATACAGGACTAGGTAATGTGTTAGGAACGAAAGGATGCCACATCGTTCGATGGAAATGAAAAATGATCAACCTACAGAGGGCTGAATTCAAAGACACCCCAAAAATCAAAGTAAACAAATGATGCAGCTGGATAGTACATTGTGCTGAAATTTCATTGCAGCAACTCAAAATGGTACTCAGTAGTTTGTATGGCCCCCATGTGCTTGTATGGATGCCTGACAATGTCGGGGGCATGCTCCTAATGAGACAAGGGATTGTGTACTGGGGTATCTCCTCCCAGATCTGGACCAGGGCATCACTGAGCTCCTGAACAGACTGAGGTGCAACCAGGTGGCGTCGGATCGACCGAGACATAATGTCCCAGAGGTGTTCTATTGGATTCAGGTCAGGTGAACGTAGGGGATCATTCAATGGTATCAATTCCTTCATCCTCAAGGAACTGACTGCATACTCTCGCCACATGAGGCCAGCCATTGTCGTGCACCAGGAGGAACCCAGGACCCACTGCACCAGGGTAGGGTCTGACAATGGGTCCAAGGATTTCATCTCGATACCTTATGGCAGTCAGGGTGCCATTGTCTGGCCGGTAGAGGTCTGTACGTCCCTCCATGGATATGCCTCCCCAGACCATCACTGACCCACCACCAAACCGGTCATGCTGAAAGATGTTACAGGCAGCATAACGTTCTCCATGGTTTCTTTAGACCCTCTCACGTCTGTCACATGTGCTTGGGGTGAACCTGCCCTCATCTGTGAAAAGCACAGGATGCCAGTGGCGGACCTGCCAATTCTGGTGCTCAATGGCAAATGCCAATCAACCTCCACGGTGCCGGGCAGTGAGCACAGGGCCCACTAGAGGACGACATGTCTTTCTGATTGTTTGGTCAGAGACATTCACACCAGTAGCCTGCTGGAGGTCATTTTGTAGGGCTCTGGCAGTGCTCATCCTGTTCCTCCTTGCACAAAAGAGCAGATACCGGTCCTGCTGATATGATAAAGACCTTCTACAGCCCTCTCCTGCCTGTGTCCTGGAATCTCCTCCATGCTCTTGAGACTGTGCTGGGAGACATAGCAAACCTTCTGGCAATGGCACATATTGATGTACCATCCTGGAGGAGTTGGCATGCCTGTGCAACCTCTATAGGGTCCAGGTATCGCCTCATGCTACCAGTAGTGACACTGACTCTAGCCAAATGCAAAACTAGTGAATAAAGGTGGCCATACACCTTACAATTTTCTGCAGATTTTCTGTGGTCAGATGGAAAAGGTGGAAACAGATTCCTCCATCTACACTTAACTGTGTGTATGGAGTAATCTCCACCTGGGCCAATCTGTTGCACTTTTTCCATCTGACCACAGAAAATCTGCAGATAATTGTATCTGCAATTATTAGTCAGAAAAGATGAGTAGGGAAATTAAATGTCAGTGGCCTCCACCTGTAATCTTTAAGCCAGTTTTCTATCTAATTACAGATCGAATACTCTATACCTACTGACCTTAAATTAGAACTATGGCGTCAGTGCTTTTCCCCATAGTTCTCCTCAAGGTCACGGGAGGAGATAAACTAGCATCCTCCCGCGACCCAAAGTATACCGCGAGCTACAGCCTTTACAGCCATTACTGTCGAGATCCACCCAGCTGCGTGATTGACAGCTGGCTCTGCCTATCTAAAGGCAGAACCTGCTGTACCCGCTGTAGTCAGCGCTGGAGGATCGGACAGGGGAGGGGAAATCCCTGCAGGGAGCTGTGAGTGATGGTCATGGCTCTCTGCGGGGACAGGATCGAGAAGTGAGCGAGCGCCGGTATGTGTTCGCTCACTTCCCGATCTATTGAGCCGACGTGTGACAGTTTCATTGTCACACGTCGGCTCGAACTATGAGGCTGAATGAAAAATCACTCACCTCATAGTTCTTCTTTAACTTATACATTAGCCACATGTGGGGAACTGTGTCAAACACTTTTGCAAAGTCCAAGTATATTATATCCACAGCCATTCCTGCAATTTATTACTCACTTCCTCATAAAAAGAAAGTAGGTTTGTTTGACAACTTCTATCTTTTGTGAATCCGTGCTGACTATCACTTATGATATTATTTTCAAGCAAAAACAATTGCATGTGATCCTTGGTCAAACTTTCAACTTTTAGACAACAAAGCAGAACTCCAGGCAAAACGTATCTTAACCCTTGCAGTGGGAATACACCTTCACTCCAAGGGTGAAGTGCTTGTTTGTATCTAGATGCTAAAAAAAAAAAAAAAGAAAGTTATACCTCACCCAAACCATGGAGCTGGCTGGTAGCTACCCTGTTTCCCCGAAAATAAGACCTACCCCGAAAATAAGACCTAGTGTGTTTTTTTGAGGTCAAAAAAATATAAGACAGTGTCTTATTTTCGGGGAAACACGGTACTCCCGTCCCTGAAGCCTGTGTACTTCCCTGCTGCAGTGATGATACGTCCCTCGGCATCCTCACATCTATACCAAGTGTATAGAAAGTTATGATCAAGGATCCTAAAGGTGCCCATACACCTGCCGATAATCCCGCGATCGTACGATAATCGGCAGGTGTATGGAAGGCTTGCTACCGTTTCTACTGTACGGTCGCACGTCTTGTCTCCGGAGCAGGCTCGAAAACCCGCCGAGAATCGTACGATTGTGCGGCATTGGAGTCATCGGAAGCCTGCCCCTCAGCGGGGAGGGCTTTTGATGATCGCAAGTACAATCTGCCTGTCCAAGATGGACAGATCGTACGAGCTTTTAATTACTTTACAACCATTGCACGACTCAAGTCGTGTGATGGTTGTAAAGTGTATGCCCACTTGACTGATGCAGCAGAGGGGGAGAGTGGCTCCAGGAACCAGTCTAAGATCAAGACGTCTGGCTCGGAGGATTGGGTAAGTATATATTTTTTTTTACTTTTGAACCTAGACACAAAACTTTTAAAGCCTTGCCGTTTTAAAACCTCCTACTGCAAGGGTTAAGAAAAGTCTGCTCAGAGTTCTGCTTTAAATACTCAATTCTTAACGTCATCCAGAACTTTGTTTTTAGTTTGGATAGTGTGGAGAAAGGTTAGAACCTTTCTAAATATTTTCTGCGTCAATAAAGGCATATTGATCAGCATTCTGGAGTGCCAGTGACCCCTTCTTTTCAGGCTACAACCTATGTCATGTTTTTAATACTGATCATGCTCCCTGTGGGGAGATTTTCCTTTCCGTGCAGTCTCTTTTTTCCTTTTTTTTTTTTTAAACTATAGTAAGAAATTATTGCATCATCAAGTTATTTTTTACGACTTGTATTGCATTTTGGTAATTTCCCTTACTTTCTGGGAGGTCAACTGGGCAGGAAGTCAGAGGAAATCTATGGGCACAGACAGCAAAAAATAATATTATATAACTATATATCAAAAAAGTTCTCTCTCACTCTATCCAAATGTGAGAATTTGACCAGCTGGCCACACTAATATGAAAGTAAAATTCTCTTTTAAGTGGATAGTATGTCTGGATTCTATGTCATTTCATGAAGCCATAAGACCTTGTTCACACCAAGCGCGTTCCAGGAGCAGAGCAGTTACAGACCGGATGAAAACTGCGTCCAATGTATTCCAATGGTATTTTGGGCTCTAGTTCACACCGCAGCGTTCAGTTCCAGAACATGTAAAAAAAAACTGCAGCAAGCCCTATTTTACCTGCTCTGGAACGCATGCAAACACACTGGAACCCATTGAAAGCCCATTTTAAACTATAAAAACTATTTTATTTTTATTTTTTTGCAATAACGGCCCTGAACGCAGCAAAACACACTGCATGTGCAGAAACTCATGCAGATCTGGTCTGCATTTGGTGTGAACAAGCCCTAAGTGTCTTAAAAACACAAGGTACAGTACTTCAGAGGATTCATTTTTATAGTGCATTTTTTGTGACAGAGGGTACTTTATGCCTTTGTTATCATTTCTGTAAGAAGCAGTTGACTTTTTTTTTTTTCTTGTGTTCATACACAGTGTAGCAGGAGCAGAAGGAGGCAAGCAGCTGCTATTACTCAGTGTGCTGCATGTACCCAGGACAGCCATTATCCAGATCTGCTAATAACATAATTTAAGGCAAGTTAGAAATAATCTATTTAACACATTCGGGGGGGGAATTTATCAAAACTGGAGCAGATTTGCACTGCAACCATTCAGCATCTCTGTCTCATTTTCAAATCTTACCTGAGCAAACTGAAGAGAGATGCTGATTGGTTGCCATGGGCAACTGCTCCAGATTTTGTCTGCTCCAGTTTTTATCAATTCCTCTCATTGCAGTTAATGTATTTTTTAAATTTTGCTCACTAAAAAGTGACACTAAACCCACAAGTTAAATCTTATAAATGCATTCAAGTAACTTAACTAGTAACAAAAATATATCATTTGTGTATGTATCACTCAGCTGTAGATCTTCAAATCATCTCTGAATTGGTGCTGACACTGTCCTTCCTTCTGGAGGTTGGCTACTTTACAACAAACACAGGGACCATGGGGAACAAAAGTAGCCACCTTCCAGAAGGAAGGACACCGCTCCAAGCTCACTCCTGTGATGGTCTACAATCTCGATACAAATTAGTAAACTAAACATGAGATTGTAGTCCATCATGGAAGCTCATGGAGCTTGCAGTGGCTACTTTACAACACATAAAGGTACCATGGGGAACAAGAGTAGCCACCCTCCAGAAGGAAAGACAGTGTCAGAGATGATGTTCGAACATCAACATACTGCTAATGTGGCAGAAGTGAAACAACTGTAACAAGTTATCCTGTGGTTGTAATGTGTTCTAAAGATTTCTCACATAGCGTCACTGACAGGCAACCATAAAGGGCATTAGAAATAGGCATTCTTTGTGCAAAAGCCTTTTATCATGTATGGGTTATTGCTTTAATTTAATGAGCGCATATAAAACACATTACTTAATACTTAACATATTATCCAAACTCCTATGTTTCCAGCTGCCTATGAATTGTCTACAAATACCACTCTTTGTTTTAAATGACATTTGTGTTGAAGTTGTGAAGCACTTATAAACGATTTAGGGCTTGTTTAGATGGGCATTTGTTTTAAAACAGGTTCTGCACTCATATACAAGTCTATGGTAATGGAAAAAAAATGCTTAAAAGTCCATTTCCACCTTTGTAAGTGATTAGCATTTATTGTGGTAATGTATAGGTACAGAGATGATGTACTATAGATGTGTGCACATTTGCATGACTCATATTGCTGGCTTTTTTACTTTTTAATGGACTTTTTAGTGGGCCTGAGTCCTACAAATTTAAAATTCCTTCCACAGGAATCTCACTGGAGTGGGATTGTCTCGTATAGGCTGTAAAGCACCTGACCCTCTCCTGTGAGGCATCGTAAGAAGCTTACTGCACACAAGCTCTGTCTCTCCAGGTCACTCTGCACTGTCCAGATTGCATTGCCACATATGGGCATATTAACAAATGGGGAAGAACCCAGAAAGAGAGCTCAGTTTCCACAGAGAAGCGTGTGCACAAGGGAAGCATGGCATTGTGGAAAATGTAGTTTCCCATGTCCTACATTGTGGTTCTGTAATTTACACAAACTGCCTGCAGAGCACAGAGGCAGCCATTACAAAAGAAGGCATGAGGAGATGAATAGGACAGCTAACAAAAAGTAAGCTTCTGTGTCCATTTACAGCAACTGCACATCCCGGCTTCATGTAAACTTGGTTTACATTGCTGGCGCATCTATCTATCGATAGATATATCTATTGATAGATAGATTTATTTTTTAAGTACGTCTGCAAAGGTGGGAAATGGGCTTCAAAGCAGGTCAAGTACAAGACAGAAGGAGGTCGACTGCAGGTCAAGTGCACCCGTCAATGAATTTTGAATGATCTCGGAAGGATCTCAAAAATAATACCATCAACACAAGCCCAAAGCATGACAAAGGGCTTTACTCACTTCACTAAGCATTCATTTCAGGTGGGTTAATGCAACAATACATAAATTTGTATAACTCACAGGCAAAGGTTCATAATCAGAATCCACCAGATTATATGATCCTGCACCAAAAAGTGCCTGCCTCATCACAACATCAATTCCTAATTTAGCCGACATTCCCAACTTGTCCAACCACCTGTGAAGAACAACATGTGTGATAGTAACTGGTCATAGGATGCTTTCATTAATTTTTTTTATTTGCAAATGACTGAAGAGATCAATTTGGGTACATCTGGAATAAAAATACACAACAAAAAACAGTATACAACGCACAAAAAAGCCCAAAGATCATCATCTTCATGCCATGGTTATCTATACTAGGGGCTACTACTTTTATAACCTATCCATAATGTAAGTAAAGCTTTGCATACTCAAGCTCACTGTTCCTGTGGTGCTGATTTGTTCAATTTTAATGACTGCCTAAAAACTTGAAGCTGGAATTATTGAGGTTTGCTTCTGATTTGACATTGGCTTGTTCCTTATGTGAACTCTACTTACAGAGTGAAAGCACAGTAAGAAAGCAATGGATGCTGCCTGCTACAGTTACATTTGACTTTCTTACCTATGTTATGTACCTGGGGCCTAGCACAGTACACCATGCAATTGTAGTTCATGACCTAAGGGGGTAGCCAAAATGTGAGAGGTTACCTATACTGCATGCAACAGTATTTAACTTTATACTCATCTCCCCTCTGCTACACTCTTGTAGATATGTGGTCAGGCAATGCACCAGGTGCCGATTCTTCTATTTTCCTTACTGCAGGGTCCTTTTTTAAGTGCACGCTTCACTGCTTGGGTTACATGGACATTTCCCATTAGTTGTCCAGCAATGGGGTCCTCTCAGGCTTCAGAAGGTTGCAGCAATGTAAAGCTGTCGCCATGAGTGGACTAACTAGAGCACTGGATCACTGGCCTGCTCTGCAGAAGAAGAGGTGCCAGCGAGGGACATATGATGGTGAATTCAGGCAAGCAAAAAAGATATTGGGGTTTTTGTTAAAAAAAAAAAAAAAAGAAGAAGGAAGAAGAAGTTCACTGGTAGGGCACAATGTTTGTTAGAAAAAGAGCTTGTTATTACCTCTGCTAGTCAAAAAACATGTCTTATTAAATAAATAGAGGCATGTCTTTAGGGCTAAGCGCCATCAACAAGAGTGACTCAGTGGCTAAAAAAGCTACTCTATCTAAAGTATTTTACAGTTACGGACAAGAGGTCCGATTAGGATGGATAAGATGATTATCATCATTAGGAGATGGTCTTACTTTTGACTGGCAGAAATCACAGCTTCATGTACTGCCTAGGCTTAAAGTGGCCCAACTTCAGCCCTGTTGTTGTTTTTGCCCTGTCAGGTTCACGGTAATGAAACCTAGTACTCTTTATTCATGACAATCAAATTGCATTATATGTTAAGTTAAATATGTTTTATTTTCACCTGCATTTCTAAGTGTCATTTTAGCATTCTTGGAGAAATGTATCAGTTTTACACTTACATAAATCCATCAATGTATGTATTTGACAGTCCAGGGCATCCACCACCATATGCAGAGCTGGTTTCCCCCAACCATACTAACTTTCCAGGAACAGTTTGATTAACAATCTAATAATTATACAAAAAAAGAGATTATTTTGATGCTGATTTGGAAGATGGCTTATTTTGGTAACCTACTAAACCTAAAGACCCACTACACCTAAAATTAAAAACAACATTATAAAGCGCTATGTGAAAGAGCTATTGTTAAATACTTATTACAGCTATATAGCTTTGCTAGGTAGACCTTATGTGTATTTGTAATCAGCCTTTGTCTTTCATTTAAAACTTTCTACAACTTATTGATCATGCTAATGTACCATGAGCTGTAGGTATAATCATTTTTAGCAGGGGGTTCCCCAATACCTAAATAATATTTCAAGGGTTCCGCCAGATTAACAAAGTTGAGAAAGGCGGTTATAAATACATACATACACTGTATACACACACACACACACACACACACACACACACACTCTACCTGTGTGGATGTGGTAATTTCGTCCACACTGTGTTATTTGTGAATTTTCAAGAGGTTTTCTGGAATCATCACTTATGACACTGGGATGACTCTAGCACAAGCAGTTTCTCTTCATTACTCACATCTGACCAGAAACAAAATGCACTTGCTTCACCAAAGTCAGTGTAACTGCTGAAATCAGCAACATCATTGACCACAGAGTCATCCAGAAAATTATGCACAGTATGCACTTGCCCTGACTGGTTTGTGAAACATAAAATGAATTGTATAGATATCTTCAAAAGGGGAAATAGACTAACATGGCAAAAAGCCTGAGCTGGCAAAGCTAAAAGATATAATAATCTTATGGATGTATTAAAAAATATTTTTATGTTTACGTGTGTGTGCATATACATATATTTTAATATGCAGTGAACAAAATCCCCATAAAAAATTGCAAAAACATTAAAATCCAACACCTCCCTGTATTCAGTCTACCGGTTTCCATGCTTAGACTGGATTATGCAAGGTTACATACTCCCTAGGACAGTGATGGCAAACCTTTTTGAGCCCGAGTGCCAACTGGATCACTAAACCAAGCTATGTGTCTCAAAGTGCCGACCCTGCACTTAGACCTGAATACTGATTTCTTTTAGAAAAACACTTCATACGACTGTCTGAACTAATTATGTGCTTACATCTTAGAAATATACAATACAAGAGGTTTCACCTACACTACAGAGTGACATGTACCTTTGTACTGTGTTAATGAGTGAAGTGTTCCATTGCAGTGTGCTACTAAAAAGGTACATGTCATGCAGAACACTGTAAAGAAACAGTCCCTCAACAGCTTGGAGTCAGTGGTGGAGCACCAAGGCCCAGTTGCAGCTGTGCCCGCTGTGACCCTGGTAGTTGTGCCACTGACTCCAACCTGTAGAGGAACTAATCTCAGCAATACATTATATAACAACGCAGAATACCACCAACTATAGAGGACTACATATCCCAGCAATACATTATACAGCAATGCAGAATACCACAAAACTATAGAGGACTACAAATCCTAACAATACATTATACAACATTACAGAATATTACCAACTATAGAGCACTACATATCCCAGCAATACATTATACAGCAATGCAGAATACCACCAATTATAGAGGACTATATATCCCAGCAATACATTATACAGCAATGCAGAAAAATGACCAGCAGCTATAGAGGACTGCAAATCCCAGCAATACATTATACAGCAATGCAAAAAAATATAAGTCTGCATACTCTGGGGTGGTGGCCTGATGTCTCCAGGGTCTCTGGAGGGCTGTGTGGGCTCTCAGGTGAGCTGTGCAGGCTATCAGGGGCGACCGTCTAATATGCTTGTTTAGAGGTCGCTGCCTGATTGTGTCTGGCCTGGATCCCGTACCAAGGCAATCCAGGACGGTTGGATCTGTTTTCATTGGTGGTCCAGAGAGGGCCCCAGGTGCCCTCCCTGGCACGCGTGCCATAGGGTTGCCACCACTGCCCTAGGATAATTGTTCCTAAGTGGGAAGATATGCAATAAGAATCATCTGTCCTTTAAAATTATTTTGCACATTCGTTGCTTGCAGTAAGGAGGAACAATGACTACTCAGGCATACCCGGTAAACAGTCATTTGGTGAAGCAAAATATTACACACACACACGCTCCAAATGTTGTATGGTGCCCAGTGATCATCCTGGATGTCAGGAATGACTCATGTTTGAAGGCACTGCAGCAATGGCGTAGTACATACCTGGAATACTGTCTTTATTTCAGAAGCCAAAGAGTCCAGTACATGGGGATTGAGAAAATCTTTCTTAGAAGCTGTGCGCCCATCAACATAATAGCTATTAATAGTTTAAAAAAATAAATTGCAGTTAAAAAATTAGGTAGCTTTTATGGTTTGGTTACAGTTTTACAAATAAACATGAAATGACTCATCTGTCACACTGTGGTTTGCAAAGACGATTTATCACAACATATCTGCAACTGCTCTACCTAAAACCAGTAGTAAAAATTCTCTCTCTCACACACACACACACACACACACACACACACACACGCTGTGTGGAAAATAATTATTTGATCCCCTGCAGATTTTGTAAGTTTGCCCACTTACAAAGAAATGAAAAGGTGTATAATTTTTTATCATAGGTGTATTTTAAATGGTAGAGACAGAATATCAACCAAAAATCCAGAAAAAACACATGATACAAATGTTATAAATTGAGTTGCAGTTCAGTGAGTAAAATAAGTATTTGATCCCCAAGCAAAACATGACTTACTTCTTGGTGGAGAAACCCTTGTTGGCAAGCACAGAGGTAAGATGTTTCTTATAGTTTTATTACCAGGTTTGCACACATCTCAGGAGGGATTTTGGTCCACTCTTCTTTACAGATCTTCTCTAAATTTAAGGTTTCTTGGCAACTCAAAGTTTCAGCTCCCTCCATACATTTTCTATAGGATTGGCTGGACTGGCTAGGCCACTCCATGACCTTAATGTGCTGGTTCTTGAGCCACTGCTTTGTTGCCTTGGTGGTATGTTTTGGATCATTGTCATGATGAAAGACCCATCCACGACCCATCTTCAGTGTGCTGGAGAAAGGAGGTTCTCATGCAAGATTTTACAATACATGGCCCCGTCTATTGGCCCCTCAATGCAGCAAAATCGGCCTGTACCTTTAGCAGAGAAACAGCCCCAAAGCATAATGTTTCCAACTCCGTGCTTGACTGTAGGTATGGTGTTCTTAGGGTCATAGTCAGCATTTTTCTTCCACCAAACACAGCAAATCGAGCTCAATTTTGGTCTCATCTGACCGCAGCACTTTCTCCCGATCCTCCTCTGAATCATTTAGATGTTCATTGGCAAACTTCGGACAGGTACATGTGCCTTCTTGAGGAGGGGAACCTTTCAGGTGCTGCGGGATCTCAATCCCTGGTGGTGTATTGTGTTACTAATAGTTTGTTTGAGGACTGTGGTCCCAACTGCCTTAAGATCATTCACAAGCTCCTCCCGTGTAGTTCTGGGCTGATCCCTCACTTTTCTCATGATCACCCTTACCCCATGAGGCGAAACCCTGCATGGAGCTTCAGACCGAGGGCGATTGATGTTTTTTTTGTATTCCTTCCATTTGCAATAATCACTCCAACAGTCGTTTCCTTCTCACCAAGCTTCTTGCTTGTAGCCCATTCCAGCCTTGTGCAGGTCTACAATCTTGTCCCTAACGTCGTTTGACAGCTCTTTGGTCTTGCCCATGGTGGTGAGGTTTGAATGGAAGAAAGATTCTGTGGATAGGTTCTTTTTATATACATAACCAGTTGTTGTTAGGAGCACCTTCTTAAATTGACAGGACTAATCTGTGTACCCCATAGCCAGTCTGTGGGAGCCAGAATTATTGTTGGTTGGTAGGAGATCAAATACGTATTTTACTCACTGAACTGCAACTCAATTTAGAACATCTGTATCATGTGTTTTTTCTGTTTTTTTGGTTGATATTCTGTCTCTATCATTTAAAATGCACCGATGATAAAAGTTATAGACCTTTCATTTCTTTTTAAGTGGGCAAACTTACCAAATCTGCAGGGGCTCAAATAGTGTGTATATATATATATATATGCACATACATACAGTACATACACACACACACTATCTCCTCTTCTCTCCCCATATCTATCTATCTATCTATGTAATGTAGGTCAAGCCAAAAATTTATTTTCTAGTTTTGGATAGTGTGGGGAAGGATTAGAACTCCAGTCAGGTTTTAAACGGCTACCTGGACCTCAGTTAGAAAGATTTTAAGCTCACTTCCTGTTCTGCTTACAATAGTTTCACCAGAGAGGAAGGGAAGAAAATCCTGCATCAGGTGTATGGATAAAAATACAAATCTGACATTCTAACCTTTCCCTACTGTAACTGAAGAAAAACATTTTTCTTTCCGTGTTGCTGTTCTAGATTTTACCTCACTCCCTGACTGGTAAACGTGGTCAATGGAACAGGAACTGAGGGTAAAGGCAAGGTACATGCATTGGTGTGATGCTATTCATTTGAATAGCACCTCAACACATTTTGTCAATGAACATGTGTTGCAGCACAACATGCGGCAACACGCCAATGTGCAGTGCGGTGCAGAAGATTGACAAAGACAGTGCATGCACCGTTTGTTTGGCAGCGCATCACATGTTGAACTGCAACGCACATCTGTCTCCAGAATGAATGACATAGTAATTACAGTGTCTGTGTATAGTTGTGCTTCTGTAGCAAATACTGGAAAAAAGTTAGTTTAGTTCCATCTTTAATTTGACCTTAGAGATAGCCTCAGACAAAAAAAAGTAATCATGTCCACTCCAGAACAGTTTGTTCCCGGACCAAAAAAAAAGCATCCCAATGTATCTCTGTGGTATTTCTGGGCTCTGTTCACACCAAAGCAGTCAGTTCCGGTCCAGAAAAAAATATATTATACTGCTCGTCTCATTTTCCCTGGTCTGGAATGCACTGTAACGCATGTAAACACAAACACATACAAATGCACTGGAAAGGACCTGAAATCTCTATTTATGCTAAAAAAACAAACAAAAAAGTGTCAAAAATCGCTGTGAAAATACACGGCACTGCATTTGCAGATCTGCTCTAGATATGGTGCAAACATAGCCTGAGTCCTTAAAAACAAAACACAGTGCTGCTTCTGGGTAGGTTCACACCTGGGCCGTTTAGCCATGCGATATTGCGTAAAACACAGAATCCCATTGAAGTCAATGGGGCTTGTTCATACCTTTGCATTGCGTTGCCCGGCCGAAATCTCCTGTCACGCAAAACAGTGCAGGAGCTATTTTCAGGCGGTTGTGGACCCAAAGACATCTGTATGCATTGAAAACCTTCAGTTTTCAAAGCAAAATCGTGGAGAAAAAAAAAATGCATGAAAACAGCTCATTGGCTCAAGCACCTAGATGTGAACCTAGCCTCATTTTTAGAATTATATGCAGCAAAATATTGTATCTACAAAAAAGGTACAAGAATACAAGTTCTGTAAAAAAGAAAAAGCTACAAAAATCTGAGACATTCGCTCATGCGTTGAAAACACGAGCTCTTAGGAAATTGAATGCTGAAACACAATGAGCTGTGCTTAAAGTGGCATGAATAATTTTATTTTTAATGCAAGTTGCTTAATGGGCCAAGATTGTAAGTTGCCTGAAAACAAGACAGCAATGGCTGGTAGCATGCATGCAGAGCCAGGATCCAGTCAGTAGCCTGTCAACACTGGCATGTAGAAGTTTCGAGGAAACACTTGAAAGCACATTTTGTATGTGATCGTATCTGTCTGGTAAGAGGACATCACTTTGGGTGCTTTGTGGAGGCTTTCATGTCTGAACAACACATTTATCATATTACTTACTGGTGCCAAGTTACTGAGTTTATGACTTTACCACCTGCTTTTAAAAAGCTGCAAAAAAGAAAAAAAACAAGAATTGTATCATTGTTATGGTGATATCTAAAATACACGAGAGAAGCCTGAAACACACGAATTTGAGTACAAAATAATTCAAGTGCTCAGTGTCAGATATTGCTCGTCCCTTTAGAAAAGTCAGTTTAACCATAGAGAGCTGTCAGTTTCCTATGCAGGAATATAGGAGGGAAACAAACACTTCCCTGAGCTGTGTTGGCAATCATTGGAGATATATATATATATATGTCAGTTGAAGGGAGGAATGTCCAGTAAAGTGTCTGATAATTTCTAATTGACCTAATTGATCAGATCACTGTGTAAGGGCCAGCTTAAAGTGGAATGCTAGTAAATTATTTTTGGATAGGATAAGTAGGGTTAGACATTTCGTCATGGTCTTCTTGAAGTCTGTATCCCGACTGGGGAGATTTCCCCTCACTTTCCTTCCCAGGAGACAGAAATTGAAGAAACCTCCACAAAAGCAACCTCCATAAAACCCTCCCTTAGGCATTTGTCAGGCAAGTGTTCCCATTGGAAGATTTCCCCTAATTTTCTGTGCTGGTAACAACTGTTACATTTATATTTCCCCATATTTTTTGTCTTAGTCAACGGGGACATTTTTCCAATGAGGACAGCAATTAATGTGTTACAAAGAGATCTTATCTAAACGAGGAAAACTTTGACTAAAGCTCCACTTTAAAGGTTAAGTATAGTTTGGACTAATGCATAGCCATATACATATGCACCACCTGGCTCTCCTCATTACAACAGTACTGAAAAATGGATATTAGATGCAGACAATAGACAACTGCTCTGGCTAGGCAGTGTCCCTGTAACCATGGTTGTTAGTGGGTAGCATAGCCACGTTCATGTTCACTAGTAAGCATACACCTCCAGCTTCCCTAGAAAACAATGTAATTCTAGTCCACCAGTTAGATGGGCAGGCCAGTACATTCTAGTCCACCACTTAGATGGGCAGGCCAGTACACTCCATGGGAGTCCCACATGCATACCTAGTAATGAAAAATGAAAACAAGTTAGCACTGTCCACTATTATTGATGCAGTTAGCTCCTCTACCAGGGTAGTAAACAAATGTGTCTGTCTAAATTCAGCATGTAAAAAAAAAAACTATTGTTATGAGTAGTACCAAGGAGCACTTAACTGTGCATGTGCATTTAGACACACTTAACTAAATTATATATTTTTTTCTAATTAAATGCATGAACATCCAGAATCATCTCTGTTAAGAAATATCAACATGATACATACAATTTTTACCTTGTCAGCATCCTTTGAGACTGTTTTTTAGGTTGTCCAATATCAGGACCATAGAGTCCAGAATTTTTGTAGCTGAGGTACGTGCTGAGCAGCTGATGCAAACTCATGAAATCCTTGCCAAGCTGAGCGCCATCAATATACAATCCAGACTTCTTCTTGAAACTGTTGGGCTCTAAACAAACCAAATTCTAAAAATGCAAATATAACACAGAGGCAAATATAACACAAATATTGTACACAGAGTATCTGAGTACAATATTTGGATTTCTTAAAATATAGAAATAATGGGTGCCAAACCAAAAGGAGAAAGAGTCCAAAGATGCCTTTAATTAGTCATAATTTTAAGCCCTAAAGAAGGGGGAACATTGTTGCCCCCCAAACACGTTCCCTCCACACTTGTGACATTTCAATAAAGTTCTACAAAAAACAAAACAAGTACACAGTGCAATGAGCCAGAATCGGAGCATCGCCACTGTGTCAGGCACCGCAAACCAGCCACTGTGTGTTACTAGGCCCTGAAGGATTGATAAACTGCAATATTAGACAAGACTTTAGATACACTTCAAAGTTTCAATTGTTTACATGTGTGTAACATGCAGTAACTATGAACAGAAAATTTTGCAATGTACATAGAAAGTAGAAGTGCACTGCTACATGTGTTTCAAGTTTACATATCATTTATAATAATAGTAATGCTCCTACCATTTCCTAGTTCCCATGATAGGTTGTACTTCCTTGAGGCACAGTAATCAATAAGCAGTTTAGCATTGGAGCTATTCCACTGATCTTGTACATTTCTCAGTAATGCATTCAGTCCAAAGATGAGATGTAAGCCTGAGCAGTTTGCGAATCTGTACAACAGATCAATGGTCTCTTCTAAAAGAAAGAGAAATGTGTGCTGTGTGTCAATATCTAGTGGTATTTTTCATCTAGATCATTATTATTTTGAGAGGATCTGCCAACAATCAAAGAAAACTTGGTCAGTATTGTCTTACTTGTTATCGTAGAATTTTTGTATTTTCTAAGAAATTCTTCCTTAAGTATGATTTGCTCTTGGGTCGGCCACAGAGCTTGAAGTTTATGTTGCACAGAAAGGGGGACTTTGTTTTCTTCACATTTGTTAGCTGAAAAGATTAAATAGTTTCGTCACATGTATTAGCTGAATATTTTCTGCTAAAAAAAAGAAACCTTACTCTCTTTAAAGCCTGACTCCAAACATTTTTGTTGTTGTTTTGGATAGAGCAAGAAAGCGTTCAAATTGCATGTTCTCCCTGTGCTTGCGTGGGTTTCCTCCGGGTACTCTGGTTTCCTCCCACACTCCAAAGACATGCTGGTAGGTTAACTGGCTCCTCCCTTAATTAGCTCTCGTATGTATGCATGTGAGATAGGGACCTTAGATTGTAAGATTGGGGGCAGGGGCGGATGTGAATGTGCTCTATGTAAAGCGCTCCATAAATTGTTGATGCTATATAAAATAAAAATTATAAATACATTTGTCATGTTTTATTTCAGCGACACCATTGGGGAGATTTCCCTTACTTGCAGTCCTTGTAACACCTGCAAAAGACAGGGGGGTGTGGCTGCATGGAAAAAATGCAGCAGGCAGATTAAGACATCAGAAGTTGACGAGTCTATCAAAGGAGAGTTAATATGTAGAAGATTTCTTACAATTGGCATATCTGTACAGAATATGTGTCTCATGAAATAAATCAAACACCCGTGCCAAAGACCAGCTAAGTCATTTACACCATTAAATCTGTTATTGGTGGTCGCTTGTTTTCCATATGAATGCATATGAGCATTTTTCATTATGGTGATTCTTTCACTTTAAAGAGTGCAATGCATAATGTAAACTGGCCATCTCAGTTTGGAAATCCAAAGTTCCTGCTCTCTGTAAGCCAGAACAGAAGGGGAACTACACTTTGTGTTGATGTGACCCATATTGGGGGTCTATACAGACCCCTGATATTTCCCTTTAAATATAGAAAAAGAGATTGAGGACACCGCTCTGCTGCACTGTGATAGGTGGCCGAGCGGTCTGATTCCTTTCATCCCTGCTGGGCACTGCTTTGTGTCCCAGCGGGGATGAAAGGAATCACGGCCGCGCCGACAAAACGGCAGGAAAATGTCACTTTCGGCATTTAGCCGAAAGTGCCATTTTCGGCCGGCGCCCCCCTTCACTTTTCGCCCGGGGCCCGCGCTCCTGCTGCCCCCCCGGTTGTTACACCACTGCATCCAGCCAGTGGTTAGGCCTGTTTTTCTACTCTATTTCCTATGTATTCCATTCAGCTGTTGGTGAATGACACAAACCATGACTCAAGTGAAACCACTATCGTTTTTCAAATAACCTCACTCAGTAATAATACAAGGAAAAGACTGGGCAAAAAATCCTCATGCTGTTTTAATATTAATTGAAATGTGAACCACCATTGCGGACCTCTTTCTGAAAAGGCTAGTTTCCTGCCTGTTGTTTTGATGCAATAGCTTCATTACATTCTGAGTACGGTAACTAAAACAAATGCAGCAAGTGAAGTCAGAAAGAGTCTGAAAGTATTAAAACAACAACTGATCTGCTTGAAAAACAGGCAACCAGCAATTTGTAGAGGGAGAGGTCAGCAATGCCAGCTGACAGGTTTCTCTTAGCACAGGTTCCCTTTATGGCCCATATCCAGCTTTGGCAAAATATAATAAAATTTAAAAAAGGCCAGCAGTAATTTAAAATAGAAAAAGCAGCACTGGCTGTAATACTTGCTCGGACAACCGTCCTCTATAGATGCACAAGTTCACTGATCCCAGGGCCGTCTTTAACGCAGGGCAAAAGGGGCAGCTGCCCAGGGCCCAGTCATTGTTGTGGAGCCATGATCTGTATTGCATGGTGTTGCTCCGGCCTTGTCGTATAGGCATATGTATGGGCAAAAATGGCAGGGCTGGGGTGAGTAGGGGGTGTTTTGTGTGTGGGGGGGGGATGGCTAAGGGGTCTGGATGGGTAGAAGTGGGGGGCCCGAGAAAATGTTTGCCCAGGGTCCAATCAGTATTAAAGACGGCCCTGACTGATCCAGTGCTCTTTTGGGTTAAAAGGAGGGGAAGGGGGGGTGGGGTTAAGACCTCTGTGTGATCACTAGGTCAGGAAGTGAGGAAAATGTATAAGTGGCAGAGGCAGTTTTTCCCTGTATAGTTAGTTATCACACTATTTTTCCCATTATCGGTAGAACACATTATCGATACAAATAGTCTCATATCAGAGTATTAACACATTATCAAACATTCTAGCACTAACAGGGCTATTCACAAAAGGGTGAAGCGTTTGGAGAAGTCAGGAGAAGTGAACAACCTAGGACAACATTGCTGAACTGGAAAGTGAGCTGAATTGGAGAATTTTTCCAAATTAGCTATGTTGTCCTAGATTATTCACTTCTCCGGCCTTCTCCAAACTCTTCGTTAGAATAGCTTTGTTAACACTGAGCGTCTACAGGTTCCAGTGACAGAAATCCAATTCTGCCCCTGAAATAATTTCTAGACCTTCCCCAACTCTAAGAGGGTTATTCACACAGTTAGCCGAAGCTTCGGCTGATTCTTCAGATAGCTTCGGTTGCGGGAGCCCTTCGGTTCAGTCGAACAGAAGGGCTGCTGTACGTGCTATTCACTACAGCCCGTACAGCTCCCGAAGGCAGCCGAGCCAAAGGCATATGCTTCGGCTCGACTGAGCCGAAGTGACAGCCGAAGCGTGCCGTACGCCTTGCAAATGACAGCTCGACGGAGCTAGCCATGATCTCAAGGCTGGCTCCGCCCAGTTGTAATGACAGATCAGCGTCCCCAAATGACCTGGGGTCGCTGATCTGTCATTAAACAAATACCAACTGGGCAGAGCCGGCTGTGATGTCACAGCCAGCTCCACACAGTTGTTATTCATTGGCTGAGGCCTGCTTTTAAAAAAAAAAAATATTTTTTTACATTTATTATTTACATTTTTTTTTTTTTAAATTCAAAATTTTTAATTTTTAACTATTCACTATTAACTATTTGCTATTTGAATAGCCGAGCCAAATTATGCTCTGCGGAATTCGGCTATTCAATCACTGCCGTGAGCTGCCGGTGCTTCGGCTCACCCCATCCAGATTTTGGACCGGCTGAGTCGAAGTGCTTCTGCACTTCTGCAGTCGAAGGCAGTCGATGTACGGCTGATCAGCCGTACTGAGCCGTAGTGAATAGCCGAACGTTGTTCGGCTCACTTCACTATGGCTCGGTTATTCACTCGCCTGCCTCCAGCAGCTTAGTGAATAACCCTGTAAATGATCCAAAGCCGACAGTATGGCAGAAACTTCATGTTTAGGGCCCAATAATACCTGTGCAAGTGTTAAATTAGCCCAGCTTGCCTCAGTAAAAAAAAAAAGTTCCTGCACTTTTGTGCAGTGCAAATAAACGTTCACATCTGTGCATTGGAATGCCATTCAGCCTAAATGGCAACAGACATACCGTGCACACGTGTGAATAGAGTATGCAAAGTTACATCTTGCCACCTTTAGAGTTATTTTCATGTTTATGTGAAAATCAACTCGACTTGCTTTTTAAAATGTGCATATTCTTGCTCTACGACGGTTTAAATAATTGACTAGATATAGAGATTTGTAGATGCTCCCTGTAGCGCCAGTTTATAAGAGCAGCTATCTGCATGCCTGGACAGGGATGATCCACATAGGTCACCTTGGTTTGTTGATTTCTTCCAGAAAATATTTTCCTTCTCTGAAGAATTTTTTGCTGGATCGAAGAAAAGGAAATCAGATTTAGTTCCTCCAAATCTCAAGAAGGCAGGAGATAAGCCTCTTGTTAAAGTGATTAGCCTTTGAGACCTATGAGAAAATGATAAACATTTTAGGATTCATACTGATGCGTAAAGACACACATGCACATATTTATGAATGTGTAAAGACAGAAAAAAAACAAAGCTACCACTGCTAAGAATTAAAGGTCTCAGGGCTTTCACTAGCAGGAAACATATTTTAGGAATTGAGTCTAGGAGACGCTTTAGACTGTGACACTAAACTCCAATGTTTAATCTTAAAAATGCATTCAAGTACCTGTACTATGAACTATTACAAAAATGTATCTTATTTGTGTATCACTCGGCTGTAGATCCTCAAATCATCTCTGAATTCATACTGACACTGTCCTTCCTTCTGGAGGGTGGCTACTTTTGTTCCCTATGGTCCTGTGTGTTGTAAAGTAGCCACCAATACAAGCTCACTCCTGTGATGGACTACAATCTCAATACAAATTAGTAAACTACACGTGAGATTGTAGTCCATCATAGGAGTAAGTTTTTAGTGGTGGCTACTTTACAACAGGGATGTGCGGTTAGGGGAGGCAGGTGAAGCAGAGCCTCACCTAGAATTATGGAGGAAAAAGCTGCCAGCTTCATATCTGAAGCTGACAGCTTTTTCTCCATTCAGATCAGCATCTAACCGGTTACACAGCAGGGAAATCCTCCCCACTGTGTAACCCGTCATCGACAGAGCGCCTCAGCGGTGAGGAGCAAGTGAGGGACAGGGAGACTCCTCCCTTACACTAGCTTGGGGGCAGAGCTTCATCCGACTGGGCAGGGCTTCAGCTGTCGGGGGCGGGGCTGGGGAATGCCTCACCCGGAGCAAGAGGTCACTGCTTTACAACAGTAGTAGGCAAGGGTTAGAACAGTAATCCCCACCTTTTTAAACAAAAGGAAAGTTCACTGTCCATCAGACTGTATAAGAGGCCAGACTATGGTCAGTTGGAGTAAAAATATGCCCTGGTGTCAGAGGTCAGTGGGAGTAATAAATGCCCCCGCATTAGTGGTCAGTGGGATCAATAAATACCCTTGCATTAGTGGGAGAAAAAAGTTCCCTTCAGTGGGAAGAAGGTGATACCCCACCACTGAATGTCAGTGGGGGGAATGTAGCCCCATTATTAGTCATTGGTTTGACAAAGGTAGTCCTATATTGGTGGTCAGTTGAAGGAATGAAGCCCTATCATTGGTGATCAGTGGACGCATGCAGGGCCTTCTCATTGCAGTTGCCCATTTACAGCAACCAGTGTGCCATAGATTGGTGACTGCTGGGTTAGCACCTCTGTTAGGTTTCTATTGCTGTCTGTCTGTGCCCTTTTTGGGAAGATTTTTCTCATTTGTTCTTGTATGGAACAGGAAGTAAAAGAATTCCTTCTAATGGGACATAGACAAAAAAAAAACGGACAGATTTGATCTCTTCTCTGCATAATCCAAAACGTAAAAACAAAAAAAGTTTGGCTTTAGATACACTAACAAAGATATCCCCATGTTAAAAGAGTTCTAAAGTCACATCATACACTACAACAGGGCTCAAAATTTCAAGTCCTGAGCTACTAGCCAGGCCTTAAGAGTTACTCGCCACCAGTTGCCCCACCTAACCCCAACCCTGCCTCGGCCTTAACTCCGCCCCTACACCCACCCTCTTAAATTATCTTATGAAATTACACTTTTAAATGTTGAAGGCAGAATAAAGTTACAAAAATAAATATTAACAACAACAATATTAAACAATATATTGTTAGAACATCAGCAGTGTAATAGGAATACATACTGTAGTTGTTGATAATGCAAATCAATGCTTACTTGAAAAAAATCCCTTTTTTTTAATGTAGAGCTGCCTTCTGTCTGCCCATCACTTTCAACAACTTCCTGGATTCCCAGTTTGCTTTGTATCTCTTTCCCTGCTGCTTGATGGGATACATTCTTGATTTCTCAAAATACCATCCCATCATACATTGCTTCCAGCAAGCAATGCTAATGTTACATTGTTCCGACGGTAGGTTTAGTTAGAGTGGTAATACAAAGAAGTGCATATTCACAGGGCTGAGTGAAAATTAAAGTGATAATATGCATGAGTTAAAACTAAAAAATGTGAGGATCTACGGCCGAGTGATGCACAAATAAGATCCAGCTTTGTTAATAGTTAAAGGTACTTGAATGCATTTAACAAAACTGGATCTTATTTGTGTATCACTCAGCTGTAGATCTTCAAATCATCTCTGAATTCATGCTGACACTGTCCTTCCTTCTGGAGGGTGGCTACTTTTGTTCCCCATGGTCCCTGTGTGTGTTGTAAAGTACCCACCACTCCAAGCTCACTCCTGTGATGGACTACAATCTCAATACAAATTAGTAAACTAAATGTGCAAGCTTGGAACGGTGGCTACTTTACAACAAAACGGGGACCATGGGGAACAAAAGTAGCCAGTACTCCTATGACGGACTACAATCTCACGTGTAGTTTACTAATTTGTATTGAGATTGTAGTCCATCACAGGAGTGAGCTTGTATTGGTGGCTACTTTACAACACACAGGACCATAGGGAACAAAAGTAGCCACCCTCCAGAAGGAAGGACAGTGTCAGCATGAATTCAGAGATGATTTGAGGACCTACAGCTGAGGGATACACAAATAAGATACAGTTTTGTTAATAGTTAAGGTACTTGAATGTATTTTTAAGGTTTAACTCCTAAGTTTAGTGTCACTTTAAGGAAGTACATTCTATGGGCATCATCAATAAGTTTGCAAACTTCTAGATCAATATAGTTATTAGGAGTGGGATAGAACTTCAGAATTCAATTCAAAACAGAAATACAGATTTATTTGTAGTTTTTGACCACAGACACCCTCATATTATTGTCAGAACATTGACTAGACATTGTAATAACAGTAAAAGCCTACTCACCCAAGGAAAGCAATGTATTTTGGCTCAGAAGCAAGGCTTGCATCAATGGTCACGGAGAGGAATCTTGGGTTTAAAGGGGGTCTCCCACTAGTTTTTAGCTGTAGTTCAAGCTCCACAATATTCTCTGGTGGAGTGTCACTGCTGGTGTAACACACAGTACCAGCCAGGAGCATAATGCACACAATGAAATGCATGAGTCTGTTCCTGTGTGTAGAGCTTTACTGAGTGGGATTCAATGGATGTTTCTTAGAGCAGACATGCACTGCAGCCAGCTAGCAGGAAAAACGCTTTTCCTCTCTAGGACATGTTACAGAGGAAGCCGTGTTTAGCGAACCGCAATCACTTCTGTAAGCTTACGGCTGCAAATGTTCTCACTCTACTGCCCAATCTTGTGACATGTCAGGCGTAACTTCCTTCTTAAAGTCTTCACAAACAAAGTGTTGAAAAACAAAACACTTTGTCATCAACAAAGCCAGAGATAGAAAATAAAGACTAGAAAGAGCTGTTTGTATGTTCTATGCACACATAGCTCCAGAGTGGTCACATGACCAGGAGCAGGTATAGGGAGGAGGCTCAGATAAATGTTACCAGCCCCACCCTGTGTGTAGTACAGGCTACACAAAACTAGGATAACCAGTTACATCCATGACATTGTACTTCTATCACACACCTCAACTCTTCCTCACTTGGAAGGACTGTTCCTCTACTTAGTACCTAGTCGCTCTGTCCCTTTCTTTCCTCCTTCAGTTGTCCCTGTTTTAAATCTGATGTATAGACATTTATTGAAATAAACATAGCCTTATTCACCTACTTTCTTTATATATGCTATCAAATTCATAACACATAAATAGTCTAAAAATTGTTTTCTATACATGTGGCATTAATTTGAAATACTATATTAGGGGTAGGCTATCTCTGCACTCCTGCTGTGGTGAAACTACAAATCTCTGCCTCTGAGTCATGCCCTTGGCTGTCACAGTCTTGCAATGCTTCATGGGACTTGTAGTTCCACAACAGCTGAGGATGCCTTATTGCATTTGTTTAAAAAAAAAAGATGTTAGTGTAAGGACTTACCTTAAATGATGCCTCTTAATGCGATCATCTTCTTTACTGTCCTTTTCAGCTGTCCCTCCAGCGCTGGTGCGGGTCTCTGATCCAGCTCTGACTACTCTGTTCTCCTCTTCTCTGATGTCCCACAGAGTCTGTGCGGGTGCACGCTGCTCCATATGCTTACCTTGTGTCTCTCCTCGTCTCCCGGCCGAACATCTGAACTGTAGACGTGTGTTGCGTTTCGTTCCGAATCCAAATTCGGACGAAATTTTGTAACTTCGGATGTATCAGAATTCAGAATTACAGAAATAACGAATGTAAACGAATCCGAATTTCCGATTCTGAAATTCATTAGCGGTAGTCTGGACGAAATTTCGTTTGTTGGACGAAATTCCGATGCAGCAAAATGTCAGACATTTTTTTTTTTTGCCCAATGTCATTTTGCTGCAACGAACGAACAAAACGATATTTCGTACAGGTTACCGCTAACAAATTTCGTCTGAATCTGAATCCCGAAACGAATTGAATTTCGGACCCGAAAAACGAAATAACGCAAAATTTAAATCAAAACGGAACAAAACAAATTTTTTGCCAGTGCACATGTCTACTGAACTGCGCATGCGCCCGCCCCAAGATCTTTTGCGGCCGCCTGAGAAAACCTTTGAAATTTCTTTTTTTTTTTATCATTTTGCGATTTTTTTAAATAGTTTTTTTAATCTACTGCTTGCTAGTGCAAATTTGTTAATCCTCTCCTTTTAACATGTACCTTTGTTTTCACCAGAGCGTGCACTATTTTTCCGATTGCACGTGGTTTGCGAACATTCGCAACTGTTTACATCTGCGCTTGTCCTGCGGCTGTATGAAACTGGCGCATCACCTAACAAAGCAATCACAACTTTAGAAGTCCCCATGAACTAGAAGCGACATTTACGCTTTTTGCTTGCAGTTGTGAATCTCCTTTCCTGGAGTCTATTTAATCTCATTTATGAACACCATTGCACTAGCAGCACAAATCTGGCGTAAATATATCCCATGCGACCATATGCAAGTTCAAACACTCGCAATTGCTATGATAAATTCCCCCCATTATGTGTTAATAATATATTTTCCCGGTACAGGTTCCGCAAATCTTGCATGACAGGTAGAGGCTGATTCTGCCTTGAACCATGCCAAGCTAAAAGTATGTAATAGCTGATGTAAGGCTAGTGCCGGATTAATGTAGGGCTTGGTGGAGCTGCCGCTCCAGGCCTGCCCCTGCAAATAGGCCCAGCATACCCGGATCACCTCAATATTCGGGTCGGTGACCAGCTGCAATCAGCTTGCAGCGGCCCTCTATTCAGGCATATTAGAGGGCTGCTTGCTGGGGCCTCTCTAATATGCCTGAATAGAGGGCCGCCACTGCCTGATTGCAGCTGGTCCTGAATAGAATAGCCGCACCCTGGTATACCTGGTGAGCCCCTACTGACCGCCCAGAACCCGCACTAACCGCCTAGAGCCCACACTGACCGCCCGGAGGCCCTACTGACCGCCCAGAGCCCACACTTACCACCCAGAGCCGCTACTGACTGCCCAGATCCCGCACTGACCACACAGAGCCTGCACTGACCACACGGATTCCGCACTGACCACCCAGAGCCCGCATTGGCCACCTGGAGCCCGCACTGACCAACCGAAGCCCACACTGACAACCCGGAGCTTGCACTGACCGCTTAGAGCCCACATCGACCACCCAGAGCCCACACTGACCACCCCATCTATCCTGCAACCAGGGGCGGTGATTTATCTGAAACTGTATTTAATCGTTTCTCATATGATTGCATGCAGACTGCCGAGGGCTATTCTTTTGATGAGACCGTTACCTCAGGTGCCATCTTTTTGGTTCAGGGGGGGGGGGCAGCAGGCAGAGTGGCATGGCACAATGTTTGCAGTGTGCCTGGGGCCCCCTTTCTGGCCAAAGCGTCCCAGGTTGCTAATAGCTGAGATGGGAGATGTGTAAGGGCCACTGGTGTCACTGGTTGCCAGGTGCTAGGCAGGATGCCAGCCAGAGTGTTGCAGGTTGCTAAGAGCTGGGCAGGGAGTTGTGTATGGCCCTTACGGCTGCCGTCACCCAGTCATTAACTTAAATGGGTACAGTGCCCTCATCTAAACTTGACATCAATAATCCATATGGTTCTGCTGCAGGAATCCCAAATCGTGCAGTGTGAATAGGGCCTAAGGCTGAAGCTATTTAGAACTGCAATACTGAAATTGTGCTCTCATGTTCTAAGACAAATGGGCCCTCTCCTAAAAAATGCTATGATAACCCTATGGGTGGGAAATACAACACTTTTTTGGCAGTATGGTCCCTTTAAAACAATCTGCACCTAATTCATGATAGACTTGTAAAAGTTTTAGTTGCAGTTCTGACACTTGCAACAGATTCAGGTAGTTCTTCATACTGTTACTTTAACTGGTGACGAGGGAGCACGGAGCTGGCCAATCAGGAAGCCGGGCGGCGTGTAATGACTCGCCGCCCGCCTTCCTGATACTGGGATAGGCATCGGCAGCATTTGGGCGGGTACGAGTACCCGCTCAAATACTACTCCTCTCTCCTGATACTACTTTTCAGAGAGGGTGACACTAAAATGACTGGTGTCACCCTTCCAATGGTGTCACCCGGGTGCGGGCTGCACCCCCCGCACCTCCCTTGTGACGCCACTGTCGGCAGCGATACCGATACTAGTATCGGTGGATCCCTAGTCCCGACCCTTGCACTCTATATGCTATATGGTATATTACATGGGGTCTATTCACAAAAGGGTGAAGAGTTTGGAGAAGGCAGGAGAAGTGAACAATCTAGGCCAAGCAGAACTGGAAAGTGAGCTGAATTGGAGAATTTTTCCAAATCAGCTATTTTGGTCTAGATTGTTCACTTCTCCGGCCTTCTCCAAACTCTTCACCCTTTTGTGAATAGACCCCATAGTCTTCACTTCTGCACTCTATACCCTGTGTAGTATATTACATAGTCCTGACCCCAGGACTATATACACCATGTAGCAGATTATATACTACTGACTCTTATACGCTATATACTATGTAGTACATTACATGGTCCCTTCATTCTATATGCTATGTCTCTCTTTCTGAGCCAGGTAGTAATAATTACCCCTAGCAACCTCTGTAGGAACCCTAGGCATTGACACCAATAATCTTTGTGCAGTCTGTAAGAGGGGCATTCTTCCACTTACCACCAATGTAAAGGACACTCTTCCTATTAGTCCCAAATGTAATGGGACATTCTTTGAACTGACCATCAATGAAAAGGAGGTTATTCTCCCACTCACCGCCAGTGAAAAGGGGCATCATACTGACTAATGTAATGGGACATTTCTCTACCGATCACCAATGTAAAAGGATACCACTATTACCACTGCCCGCATTTCTTTTGTGGCCCTTATTATTTGTTTCATTTCATAATTATTATTGATAGAGCAAAAGGGTGTTGGAAATGTATTGCTAAGTATCGGAGCATGTCGGCGAGCACGAGTACTCGCCCAAATACTCAGTATCGGCACCGATACCGATACTAGTATCGGTATCGGTGCATCCCTAATATATATATAAATATATATATACAGCATATAGCTTTTGATGGAGCTGAACACAGCAGTACATGTATACAGCTGTGTCAGTCAGTATTTTATTACAGCTGTGTGTGTGAGCCCCCCCACCCCTATAAAAAAAAGTTTATTTTTGGCCTTACAATGTCTCTGTTCTCATTTATTGACTATTTTGTATACTGTATATACAGTAGAGTGTATGTGTGTGTATAATCGGACCAGCGCTGACTCGGGGCAAACATAGCGCAAGCATCGGGGCATTTTGACAAGTACAAGTACTTGTCAAAATGCCCTGTTTTTTCCGCCCTCACCCTGCAGCGCCCTCAGGCGGCCGCTTGACTTGCCTTGCGGTAGCACCGGGCCTGAGTACTGCTGTGTTCAGCTCCATCAAAAGCTATATGCTGTATGGATCTGAATGCAGAGTTTGTTATGCCCATGTTTATGAGCCCCTAAGTGCTTTGCCATTATCTTGTTTGGTGTCTAATCCTACTTAATATTAACATTCACTGTCAGAGTGAACTATTTACTTTTAAAAGGAGAACTATGGGGTTAAGGCTTTTCCCCATAGTTCTCCTTAGGGTAATGGGAGGACACAAACTAGCGTCCTC